AATTTAAAAATTTTTAAAATTTTTTTTAATTTAAATGTAATGAAATTTTAAAAAAAAAAAAAAAATTCATTTTATTTAAAAGATTAATCTTTTTTTTTTATTTTTTTATTAATATTTTTTTAAAATTTAAACATTTTAATTTTTAAAAATTTGAAATTTTTGCAGGTTTAAAAAAATTATAAAAAAAAAATTTTTTTTTATTTTTTAATTCTCTGAAATTTTTTAATTTTTTGATATGTTTTTAAATGGATTTTTTTATTAAATTTAATTTCCCTGTATGAAAAAAAAAAAGAACAATTTTTTTAAATTTATTAATTTAAAAAATTTTTGATTCTTTAAAAAAATTAAAATTTACCAAAATTTTTATTCACTTTTGGAAAAAAAAAAATAAATCAATAAAAAATTCAAAATCTGAAAAAACTTTTTTTTAAAAAAATTTTTCATTTTTAAAAAATAAAAAAATTTTGTAAATAAATTTCAATTACCTCATCTCAAGGAAAATATAAAAAGTTTTATTTGAAATTATGTTTTTTTTTTTGAATTTCCAATTTTGAATTTTTTACATTTTCTTCATTTTTTTTTTATAAAAAAAAAAAAAAATTTGAATTTTTGACTAAAATTTATTTAATTTTTAAAATTAAATTAATATAATAATTTTTTCATAATAACAAATAAAATTTTTAGAAAAAAGAAAAAAATCTTGAAAAAATGTTTAAAAACTGTTTTGAGAATATTACAAATCCTTGTCTAAAAAAAAATAAAAAAAAAAAAATATCTATTATTTTTTTTTTAAATTTAATGAAATTAAAATTAAAAATAAAAAAAAAAAAAAATTTTTTTTCTAAAAAATTCTTTTTTTAAATAAAGGATTTTTCTAATAAAAATTGCAAAAAAAAAAAAATGTTGAAAAAATTTTATTTAAAAAAAAAAGAAAATTTTGTTTTTTTTTTTTTTTTTAAATTTTAAAAAAAAAATCAAGATGTTTTTTTATAATTTTAAATTTTTTATTTTAAATTTTTTTTTTTTTTTTTTTTTTTTTTTGAAAATTTTTTCAGGAAACTAAAAAAAATTCAAAATGACTAAATTTTGTCAAAATTCCAAATTTTGCCTTTATTAAATCTTTTGGTTTTTTAATGATTTTTTTTTCTCCAATTTTCCTTCCAAATTTTTGTTTTGGAAAAAACTTTTTAAAAAATTTTTTTTTAAAAAAATTAAATTGTTTTAAATCTTTAAAAATTTCTAGAAAAAAAAGATATAAAATTTTAAAAAAATTGTTTTTTTTTAAATTTTTTAATAACATTTAAAATGGTTTTTTTTTATTTTATTTTTTGAAATAATTTTTTAAAATTTAATTTATATAATTTAAAAAAATTTGTAAAATAATGAAAATAATATTTGAATTTTTTTTTGTTATTTTTAAATGAAAAAAAAAAAATAAAATTAAAAAAAAAATCAAACATTAGAAATTTGTTTTTTGTTTTAAAGTTTTATTTATTTTTTTTTAAAATGACTTTGAAAAAAAATCAGTTCTAAAATTTTTGTAAAATTCATTTTTTAATAAATTATAAATTGGTTTTTGATGAAGTTTTTTAATATAAAAAAAAAAAAAATTTTAAAATTTAATTTAAAAAAATTATTATTGTTTTATTTTCAATCAATATTTAATATCCCAACAATATTAATTATTCAATATAAATCATTTTATTTTATGTTTTGAATCCCAACTTTTCAAATAAAAAAAAAATTTCCATTTCCAAAAAGATCAAAAATTAAAATTTATTTTTTGAATTTTTAATTTTTTTTAAATTTGCTTTAAAATCTTAATTTTTTTTTTTTTTTTTAAAAAAAATAAATTTTTTAATTTTTTTGTAAATTTTATGAAATTTGATCAGAATTTAAAAGGATGATTTAATTTCATTTTATTAAAAGAAAAAAATGCAAATTGTTTTTTTTGTAAATAGATTCACTCAAATTTTTAAAATTAAAATTTTCTTTTTTTCAATTTTTTTTTTAAAATTTATAAATATATATATATTATATTTTATATATATTTCATTTGAACAAACTTTTTCAATGTATTTTCAGAAAATATATATATAAAGAGAAATATATATATATATATATATAATTATTATATTTTTTTTTTTTTTTTTTAAATTTTTTTTTTTTTGAAAAAATTTTGAATATTTTACATACTATTTTTTTTTTCCAAATCATAAAAAATTTGGTTTATTTAGTTTTTTTTTGAAAACTTTGATTTTAATGTTTGTCTCTTAAAGACAGGTAGATAGTTTTGCCTATCACCTTTTATTCTGACATCCCATCCCTATCTTTTGAATAAAAGTAAATTTTAAAAATTTTTTTCATGTTTAAAATTGATGTTCCAAATGTTCTTAAAGTCTTCCCATTTTTTTTCATACCAAAAATCCCTTGCATCTTAGTGACATTATTGCCTTGCTTGGGGTGAAATAATTAAAAAAAAAATTGTTTACTGTAATATTTTAAAAGTTGAAACTGGCTTATTGAAAACTTGAAATTGGTAAGGTTCTTCGATAATCTCAGATAATCATTAACATATTGATAAATTTATTATGTAATAATTAAACAAATGTGGAGAAAAATTAGGATAGAGTAAACTTGAATGGACATATTAGGTTGGGTGATAAATAATTTCTGTATGAAACAGGCTTGGATGGTAAATTTGTCTTAATTATTTTTCAAAAATTTTTGGACTATTCTGTAACTGTCTATATTTCTGAGATGTACACTATTTACATTATTTCTATATTTACATTATTTCTATATTTACATTATTTCTATATTTACATTATTTCTATATTTCTGAGATTATTCAAATTTTTTCATTATTTGTTTTTATTATCCTCATTTTTTGTTATTTAAAAATTTCATCTTTCAGCCATTGTAGTTTCTCCAGTCTTCTTTTTCAAATTTGGAATTTTTAAAACCCTTTATTTCACTCAAAGGGTAACAGTTCTAGTTCCATGTTTTTTAATGGACATCAGTTATCAAGCATCTCCTGTTAATTCCCTCTCCAAAATCTCCAAAAGGCAATTGAACTCAAAATATTTTTGGGTCCTGTCACTTTGGATCTAAAATTTTTATTTATCCTGCACCATGTTTCCTTGATTTTTAATTATGTGGAATATCCAGTCTAAAATAATTATTCAAAAATAAATTAATTAAAATTTTGGATTACCTTAAGAAAAAATTTTAAAAAAAAAAACAAAAATGTAAAAAATGGTGAATTCAAATATGAGGACAATAGCCTGAATAAATGTAAATGAAAAAAAACATTTATTTATGTAATTTTAAATGTTAGTATTCTTTTTGTTTTTTTTTTTTTTTCTACCCTACTATTAATCTTTTTTAGTTTTAATTTTTTGTTTTAAAAAAAATTTTTCAATAAAAATAGACAAATACTTGGTATGATTTTTTTTTTTTTTTTTTTTTTTTTTTTTTTTAAACATGGACCTTCATCATACCTGCAAAAAAAAAAAAAGTCAAAAAATGATTTTTTCCATGACACTATTATTGTTTTTTTACTACCTTCACTCCTTGGCAATGTTTTTGTTTTTAAAAAGCAATGAATAGAATTGTAATAAAACCTAAACACATGAAAGTGAATTTATACCCATTTTTCTTCTTGAGAATTGACAAGAAAAAATAATAAACACTATTTATTTATTAGATTGTTTATTTACACTATTAATTTGTTAAATTGTTTATTGGAATGGTTGACAAAACATCAGTTAATTGCCAATTGATTCAAACTTTATGAAATGGTAAATAACAAGGATTTCCTTATAGTTGGTTTACATATTTTAATAATTTAGTAAATGTTTATAAATTTATGAATAAAAAATTGTTTTCATATTTATTTTTTATAAATTGGTAAATGATAAATAATGGATAATTAGTTTTAATTGATTTTTTAGAATGTTGTAAATATAAAATTATTCTTGTAAATAAACAATCAAATCCATTAATTCACTTATGTAAATTTTTTGGGAAATTCTCAAGAAAAAATCTTCTTAAATTCCTCCAGCTATGGGTAACTAGCATTAAGACTGGGTTCTATAGCCTTGGATGGCAAATGGTCTGGGAGAAAACAACTCTAAATTCAAACTCAGAGTGGGAGCCCTTTGGATGGACAGCACTTTTTTGCTACCTTCCGCAACTCCTGCAGCCACGTTGGTACCAAACTTATTGGTTTATCCTCTCCTTTTTACTCTGCCAGCAAAGTCCAAGAGGGAGAAAAAAAACGTCTGAGCATTAGTTCTCCAATATCCTGCCCAGGCTATAAAAATCACAATTGCTACTCCATCATCTCTCGAGATAAAGACAGATGCTGATGATATAAATTTTATTTCTTTATAAATTGGTAAATGATAAATATTGCATTAGTTTTAATTGTATTGGGTTTTAGAATGTAAATACAAAATTATACTTAAACAATCTAATGAATAAATAGTTTCTAATATTTTTGTTATAAATTTTTTTTTGTTGAGAATTTACAAATTCACTTTTGTCATATGTTTAAGTTTTATTACAATTTTAATTGTCATTATATACATTAATTAAAAGCATCTTTTTGACAGTTTTATTTTTGTTTTTTGTTTTGTTTTTTTTGTTTTTTTTTTTTTCTGCGGGCACAAAAATCCATGTTTTTTTTTTTTTGTACTTTTCTTTTTACCTTTTCTTGATTTAAATTTCTTGTTTTTTGCTTTTTTCTTCTTGTTCTCCCTCCCGTCTTCTGAAACACAGACATAGCTTTTTTTAATGAATGAAAAAAAAAGTATTTTTCCACACTTATATTTAATAACTGAAAAAGTCTTCCTGCAGGAGATATGCTCCATGCTGAATTTACCTCTGTAGTCTTCCCCCATCCCCTCTTCCTTATAAAACTTACTTTTTGAAGAGGAGGGAAAATGTTTAACCAAATCCTTTCTTATCCAATATTCTTGTCTTTTCTCTTTCAGAAAACTGGGACTTCCGTTCCACTAATTTGAAAAAGAATGGTCATCTGCTAAAATCTGCAGAACTGAAAAAAAGAGGCATAACCCGTTATGATGCTGAAATTCTTCTCTCCCAGGGTATCAATCTACCCGAGCCCAAAGTGGTGCTGGAACGCCAGTTACCCATATCAATAAATGGCAATCGAACAGTAAACTTGAATGATGCTAAAAACAGCTTGGGCAAAAACACAGTCCTGCACTCTGTCCAGAGGAACGTCCGGAAAAAGAGAGTCAGGCAAAGCCTAAATAAACCCATCCACAAAAACGGTTACAATAATGTTGGCACCGCTGCAGCATCTACAGAAGAAGTGACAGCCACACCTTGTGATGGTACTACCCGCGTCCCTGATATCTCGGTTGGAGATGAAATCTCTGCTGACTTGTCTGTGAAGCCACCAGAGCAAATAAAGAAGACACTGTCATCTTCCGCTCCTATATCATCATCTTCTTCTTCATCATCATCATCTTCATCTGCCTCATCTTTGTCATTGTCATCAGCTGTCTTGAGTGTAACCAAAGAAAAAGACCAGGATCAGTCAGAACCCAAAAATGTCAAGGCTAACGGTGAGCCTCCAACAACCAACATCTCACTTGGATTGGACAAGGAAGTTGACAACAATCACAACAGTAGTGGTGGTAAATTGACGAATGAGGATTCACTCCTCAACCAAGAAAAGCATAGACCCGATAGTGCAAAAGAGAACACCAAATCAATTTCAACTCTTACTCCTTTAATTTCATCGTCGTCGTCAACCTTGTCACCATCAATAACACCGTTAGCATGCATTTTGCAAGATGCAGAAAAGTTGCCAGATGCCACAAAGTCATCGTCAGTGTCTTCACCACCTCTAAATAATAAGCAGCAGCCTCAAATCCAACTCCCTGAGAAATCACAATCTGAGGGCACTATCACCACTACTCTCACCTCCACCACCACCACTACTACTGTTAATACTACTCCATTCACCACCACCACCACCACCACTACCACCACTACTACTGTTAACCCTACTTCTTTTCTTATTACAAATAATGTTGAAAAGACATTTTCATTACTGGTACCATCAGATGACATGAAAGCAGTAGAAGTGGAAAATAAAAAAGCCCCATGCTTGAATGGTGAAAATACTGCTGAGAAACTATGGAGTCATTCCAATGTGCTGGCTGACTTGAATTCAGCATCTCCTCTTCAAGAGACGTGTTCAACCAGATCTGGGCTTGACAACGGGCTGGAAACATCTTCACAGAGCTCCACATTCAACCTGCCAGCTAATGATGATCCAGTAGAGAGTTCGGGAGTGTTCTGTCAAGAAATTGTCTTACAAAACAAGAAGCCTTTCCTAAACAAAAATAAACTTGCCTCTATGAAAAACAACTCTGTCCGATCGAGTCCACGTTTGCGGCAGAAGCCATACGAAGAAAACTCACTGACCAGTCTCCATTGGGATAATGGCCCTAAACTAAACGTTGAGGTTTTGTCTGAACTGTTGGTTTCTTCAAAAGCAAAAAGGGTCAAGTTGGCAGATACAGAGAACTTGCCTCTTGATTCAGACACACTTCTCTTTCAAAAGGCAACCAAAATAGAAGTAGCTTCGCCTCCCAGGAGCATAAAAACAGAAGTTTTATCCCCGCAGAGAGATTCTGAACAGAACGTTATCTCAACTCTGCCTCCCCCTCTCCTCTCCAGAGTCAAAATTGAAAATCACTCACCTTCCAAAACTTCACAAACTGACCACTTCTCTTCAGCTGGTCTGAATAATTCAGAAATAGTCTCTGCTTCACGAGTAAAAAGAGAAGATGTTCCTTTGCTTCATTACGCACCTAGTACCACTATACAATCTTCCGAAAATATTTCTAACTCTCCGCAAATCATATCAAAGCTCTCTTCCTGCTTTAATGAGAAGTCGTTGGCACCAACAACAAATCAAGGCGTGCTGAATTCTTCTTACCTGAAGACTGCTACCAATTCTGCCTCTCAAAAGTGTTCCCGGTCGGACGATTCTTTCAAACAAACCTTTTTACAATCTAGAATTTCTAACCTCTTTACCCCTATTCCGAAAAGTACTACTCCCCCAACTGCTCCATCCTCCCCACAGAGGAGTGCCTCTCTGAACATAAATAATGGCATAGCCTTGCAGCGAACTCCTCCCAAACAGAATGATCCCTATGCTTTTTCTTCACCTTCTCCTATTCAGAGGATGTCCAGTTTGGATTTACGCTCCTTGCACTCTGATTTTATCCCTTCCCCTGAGCAGGCAGCAAACAAGTATGATATTCTCCCCAAACAAAATGCTCCAAAAGCCTCCATGAACTTGTTGAAGAAGTTCTCAGAGTCGAACAGTGGCTCTTACACATTATTAAATGCCCCAGGAAGCTTGAAACTGCGAATTCGTGATCCCAGCATGAAATCTGGTTATCCTGAGATGACGCGGCATGTGAAACGGTTTTGCCACTCTTCAAGCAATTCTAACACCAATTGCAGCAACAGTGACAGCAACCGCAAACAGTGTAAAAAGAATAGTAATTCCTTGTTAACTATAATTTAATAAAAACACAAGTTGGCTGTAATTTTCAATTAGAAAACAAAAAGAAAATGATTGCAGGACCCACTAAAACAGCAGCCTTATGAAGTGGGCTCACAGTAATTTTTTCAAAGCTGACAATCCGCATGCGCATAAAATAAAAATATAATGGACACGACAAGCCAGACAAAATGTGTTTTGTTCAACTTGGATGACAGTTCTTCCTCTGCACCTTCAGTACCTCGGGAAGCACATTGTGATACCTCCTCCTCCTCCTCCTCTTCTTCTTACTCTTCCTCTTCTTCCTCCTCCTCCTCCTCTTCCCACAAACACAGACACCGACACAGAAGTAGCAGCAGCCACCACCACCACCACCACCATCACCATCATCACCACCTCTCTAAGCACTCGGAACATTCCTATCTAGGTAAACGCAAACAACAGAAATCAGATTTAGAATACCACTACCAAGCACTACGACCAGTGCAGACCACACCAAAGAAGTTACGATTAAAACTAAGGGATTGTGCATTTGAACTACACATCCCACCAGCTAGTATTGATGAATAAAATAGGTGGTTATTGTGTTTTTTTTTTTTTTTTAAAATCATCATATATATATATATATATATATATATATATATATATATATATATATATATATATATATATATTTAATATATCTATATATAAAATTTTCTTTTCTTTCCTTCTTTTTTTTCTTTTGTTTTTCTTTTTTTCCAGAACAAACAAGGAAAATAAGATTTTGGAAAAAATAAAAAAATAAAAAAATAATTAAAATAAAACAATTTTTTTAAAATAAAATATTAAAAAAAAAAATAAAAAAATGCAGAAAAAAAAATAATGAAAGGAGTTAAAAAAAAAATGTTTGAAAAGAAAGAAAGAAAAAAAAATTAATAATTTAAAAATTCAAATAAAGAACTTGCCCCTTACAGATTTCCAAAATCAGTCACCTGACTTTGGCTAGTTTTTACATATACATACATCATTTTGTATGTATGTATGTGTGTGTATGTATGTACATATATATATATGTGTTTGTGTGTGTGTCTTGCACACACATATACATGCATTTTTCTGATAATTCTCTTTTTCATTAAACAAGAGAGAGAGAAAAGTTTTAGATGAGTTATTTATGAATAATCTCATCAAAATGTTTATAATTTTTTTTTTTTGTTTTTTGGAAGAAAAAAAAAACAGCAATGAGAATAAGAAAATCCTATGATAAAAAAAAATCAAATTACATTTTTTAACCCCTCCCTTATCTTTTGTATGGTTCAGTCATTAGCTACAAACATGAGTTCAGCATAAATAAATTTATTTATTTTTCACCTTAATCCCCCCCCTCTCCATATTTATTTTTTTTTATTTTCTTATTTTAATTTGAATTCTTTATTAAAAAAAAATGTCAGGTCTTTGCAAATAGGCCAAGTGTGTGACAATAGCAGCTATCATTTAAACCAACACTGAAATTTTTAAATCTCTCATGTAGACTACATCTTTAAATTTAAACTATCTAGGAAAATGTTAGACTAAAAAAATAAAAATAAAAAAAATCAGTTTTATATATATATATATATATATATATATGGCAATTGAAAGAACTCTCTATTTTATGTATGATGGATCCTCCTATCCTATAAAAATTATAGTTAGACATGAGAATCTATCATGCATAAAATAGGGAGTTATCAATCACCTTGTGTGTGTATGTATGTATGTGTATATATATATATATATATATATATATATATATATATATATATATATATATATATATAACAGAAATACTTCCACATTTTAAAAGTTGGCAAAAAGACCAAGGTTACTGCTATTAAAAAAAAAAAAAAAAAGTATTTCACTGTTGTTTAAACAAAGAACTATAAATTTTATTCATTTGATTTTGGAAATGACATCCTCCAAATGGTGGCCTCTATTCACCATACACTGTTGTAGACAATTTCTAAAGTTTACCATCACCCAGTAGTTCAAGGTCTTCTAGGTTGGTTTTATTTTAAGCATTGAACCTATGACCCTGAAATTCTTGACTGATAGCAGTACCGACTTTCAATCAAGGATAGCAATATTCCAACATACCATGAAATGAGCACAAAATTTCTCTGTTGATTCCATTATTACAACAGTCTTAAAATATATATATATATATATATATATATATATATATATATATATATATATATATATTTGGACAACAATGTGCACTGGTCCAAACTATGATGGTATCTGGAAAAATAAATGTTAAGGAGTTAGCTAGATGAAAACATCATTGTCACTTGGCTAAGTTCGCTAACACTACACAGGTTGACAGCCTAAAATGTGAAAAGTATTTTTGCCATACCCCTATATATGTACATATATATGTTTGTTTTTTTTAGGGGGGGGGGGCAAATTTAATTTTTTTTTTTTTTTTTATAAATGATTTAATATATACATGCTTTGTCTTCATGATGTTGTATCATAACAGACAAAAAATTTAAGCACAGGTTTTGAACATACAATATAAGAATTAAGTTTTGAAGTCATTTGTTGAAAGTATTTTGTTTTTTAAAATCATTTTATTTTTAGGTGTAAAAGTCTTTTTTGTTATTAATTTAATTTTATTTTAAACTTTTTATTTATTTTTTATTCTAGTTGGCTGTTATATACTTTGAAAGCTCTTAGAAAACCCCCTTGCTAGATGATAACCTTCTAGCTTCTGCTTTTTCCCTAGACATCATTACATCCTTTTGCTAGAAGTCCTTTTGCTAATAGCAAAAGATCAATTATTTTGAAAGAAAATATTTTTTTTTTTTTTGTTTTTTGCTTATATTTGAAGGCCTTGTCTAACACGTTGACTGCCACATCACCATATGTTGGTGACCTGTCATTTCAGTATAAGTCATGTCTCCACATATTGATGACAGTTATATTATCACTTTAAGTTCCTTTGCCAAATATTGGAGACACTAGGGGACAGTGCAAGGGTTTTGTGCCTCCCCCTCCCCAATCTATGATGTGCCCCCCACCCCCACCCCAAATCTATTACATCTCAATTTTCATAAGGTAGTATTCATATAAAATACAAATTTTTTGTAACCTAATTATGTACAATCATAACAGATCCTATGCAATGAACAATTCAACTAGAAAAATTGAAAATAAATACAATGTATCTAAATACAAATTAGAGACATGTCAGTGGATCCATCTTAAATAAATCAACAATGGTTTGTGGCAATTTTTAACTTCAACTTGAGATTTTTCCTGTTAAAAAGTTGAATAATTTTAACACATTCAACATTATGGATGAAAAATATTGAAATTTATACAGTATTATTTTTTTTTTTTTTTTTTTTTTTTTTTTAGCATGAGCAAAACAAATTCACGGATTTGGACAGAAAAAAAAAACAGAACTACATAAAAATCTGTAAATTGTTCATCCTTTAATAATTGTGGTTAGTTTAAAAGTAGAAAAAAAAAAACAATTGTTGATAAGATTGTGAGGGTCACAAAACACTGCCTGTGTCCCTAATCAAGCTTGGGTCCCCTACAGTTAAATGACTCAGGTGTAGTACGTACCAGCCTTGGGAGAGACTGCATATTTCTATATAAAGAAATGTCTGTGGCTTCTCTTAACCATTATTGAATGCTTTAGTTTATTTTTCTTTTTTAATTATTTTATAGGCAATAAACAATGTAAGATATAAATATTTTATCTTGGATATCTATGGGAAGAGAAAAAAATACTATCAGTAGCATTTGCAAAAATTTGGTATCTTGCATTTGGTCACCAATTTATAATTATAAAATAAGTTTATAGCAGTTAAATAGTAATGCATGTATTGAATACATAGACTTTATTTTGTATGCATATCAAATATGTTATAGAAACTTGAAGATACTGTTTCCTATAGTGAAAGATTTTATTTAACTTTTCATCTGTCATGTCATCATATACTGGTGACCTGGCATTTCAGCTTAAGCCATGTCTCCAGAAACTGGTAACAGTTATATTATCACATTAAGTTGCTTTGCCAAAAGTTGGAGACATTTTATGAATATTTCTATCTAAAGTAATGTCTGTGGCTTCTTGGAAAAATTTTGCAAAATGCTTATCATTCCGGTTCTCTTAACTTTACTTGATGGCTTTATAAATATATAGGGGTTTTTTTTTTTGTTTTTTTTGTTTTTTTCTTACAGTGGTGCACTACTTACCACAAGGTCCCTAAACGACCCTCCACAGGTTTTGAATTCAGAGTTGTCTATCTCCTAGACATGCTTCCTTTTATATATATATATATATATATATATATATATATATATATATATTCTCCCATTGGGTTTGACGTTATGAGGTTCAAGCAGATCAGTTTCAGGAAACTGACAGCCCAGATATACACATGAGATTAAATTATAGTGGTGAAGGTTTAGGTGCCTGACCATCCACACTTTTTGAAGGGCCGAATACAGAGACCTGGTGCACTACATGTCACAAGGTTCCCAAACAACCCCCACTCAGGTTTTGAATTCAGAGTTGTCCTTCTCCTAGAATCCTTCTTCTCCCTCCAGCTATGGGTAAAATAGCAGGACAGACTGGGTTCTATAGCCTTGGATGGCAACTGAGATATATAATTTAGAGAATCTGAAAAAGAATATTATGTACATATAGTAGCCTTCACCAGTTGGTGACATGACTTCTGAGATTAGAAAAAAAAAGTAAAAAACACTAAAAACTTTAATTGAAATCTAACATATTCTTTTAGAAAATAGTTAAAAAAAAAAAATAGTAACAACTCCTCCCACATGACCCTATACTGACTTTGGGTTGGCAGTCAACGTGTTAATAAGGTAAAAACATAAGTCATTAGTATTGGTTTCCCCACTTCAGATTATTGTTATCTATTTATGACAAAGGTGCTATCGTCTCTTGAAGAATCCATTACAACAAGTTACTTTCTCTGTAAGTTATTATTTATGGGAACTAGTCATTCCTTACATACTACACTAGAGTGTGAACAGATTGTTGAAAAATAGTTGTGCCTCATATTGAAATATGCCTTATAATTTTGGACACCATTAACTTTTAAGACTATTGAAGACCAACTCAGATATCTGATATAATTTGAAAATAAGATTGAGTAATGACTTTTTTTTTCTTTATTTTTTTTATTTTTTTTTTTTCTTTCCTGCATTTAATTTTCTTTTGTCTTTTTATTGTTTTAAGTGAATTACAAATATTTTTAAAAATTTTGTCTTCACTTAGAATTAAGTTTCCGGTTCCTTCTAAAGTCTACTTCAACTCTATATTTCTAACATCTCCGCTTAAATAAAAATTTTATTTAATATTCTTTCTTTTTTTTTTTTTTTTTTTTTTTTTCCCCCACCACAATAGGAGTAGAGAGGTAC